GGGGCGCGGGGCGGGGGCGGGGGTGCCCGCGCTCCCCGCAGAGACGGCGCGGGAACGGCGCCCCCTGGAGGGAGAGCTCCGACCTGCCTCGCCGGAGGGCTGGGCCCCTGCCGACAGGACACCCGGTGCCACTCTCACAGTTAGAAAGCTCTTGTTCCACAGGCCATTTCTTTACCAACGGCCATGGGAAAGGATGGCAGAGGCGCGAGTCCCAGGTGAAGGCACCCTGCTACGATGTCAGGGAGAGCGGCACGTCCCAGTCCCGTGCTCCTCCCCGGCCGCCCGGGGCTGCTGGACCGAGGCCTGGGGCGGAGGTGAAAGGCCCCCGAGGCCGATGCGCTCAGTTGTTCGGCGCGGGCGGCGGGTGCGGGCGCGGGCGCTCCCGAGTGCTGCTGGTTTCAATGAGCAGTATTAATTATTCACAATAATCAGCTTCATACTAGTCAAAATTAAAAGTTGCTTTATGTTTTTACTTTCCCTTTCTTTAAAAAATGTTAAGTTGACTTATACTTCAAATTTTCATTTCTTTCCTTATTCCCTTGGTTTTGATAAAATCATGACAATTATTAGTCTGTTAAGAAAAACTCATGCTTAAAAGAAGGCTGCATTAACTGGCTTTTGCTACAAAATGACCTACTTCAATTTGTTTTCTCTCATATTAGTAAGATATTTAGAATATTTCTTTAACACCAAAGCTGTATAGAATATGGAATTAATACTTTTGCCTGGCACTGTCAACTTAACCGTAAAATAAGGTTGAGATACTAGAAAGCTGTGAGCACATCAAGTGTATTAGAACCCATTTCAAGAAAAAAATGAGCGAGCCGCAGAGAGAGCGAGCTGCGGGGGTCTGTGAAGCAACAGCACCGCAGGGCGGAGGTGGGGGGCGCGAATCCATGGGGCAGGCGGGTCTCCCTGCTGGAGGAGGGAGGCTGAATTCAGCTGAATTCAGTAACCAGGCTGAGGCTCTGGACTTACAAGAGCGGAGAATGAAATCCTGGGTCATGGTGACACCAAGGTTGTCATGGGCCTATAAGGGACTCTTCAATAGCCAGCGAGTTGCCAAGTAGTGACATTTATACATTGTTCTTCTTGAACTGAAACAGTTGTAAGATTATTAATGTGAAAGTCACTATTTTGGAACTGCGTTCATTCCAACTAGGTATCATTTAAAGTTTGCCTTTGCTGAATTTACAAGAAGCATTATTTTAATAAAGGGAGAGGGAAGATTTCAGATGGCACCTAATTTATTTTAGAGAAAAAACCTTGAACCTGTCTGAAAAACATCTTTTACCATGTAGTTGAGAAATAAAGGCTCACCAGGCTCACCCACTTGTGAGTCCCTGCTTCCTAGGACACGCGCTATGCAAACCCGGGCCGAAGAGCCGGGCGGCGGCGTGCACAACCTGCGCAGCTAGACGTGGCGGCCGAGGCACCGCCAGACGAGTCAGTGACGACGGGGCTCAGATTTACTCTTTGTCACCCAAGGAAATACTCCTAATTTAGAGCAAAACTAAGGTCAGACCTTCATTTTTTCACAATTAGTGACAAATATGCAAAAAGTGTTTGTGGACAGTCAGTGCAACAGACACTCTTCCGGAGTGCACACCAACACTTAGGGCAGTCTTTGTGCAGCTGATTTCAGCTTTCTTCTTCCCATACAAATTCATTTGTTAATAACTTACATATCAATTACATAATCCCTTTCTATCTATTAAAGCAAGTCCCTATGGCCCTCTTGCAAACACTTTGTAAGAGTGGTTATTGAATGTGTTTGCTTGAAGGTAGAAGAGTACTATTTCATAAAATATACTTCAATTAAACATTTCACACATTTATTTTGGCTTGATCCCATTTGTACATTTAATAATTCAGGTTTCACAGTATTAATATACAGTTCTGAAAGTTTCCCCTAATTTCACAGGAATTTTTTTCTTACTCTCTAGTATTGTTGATATATTTCCAAAATGTTGTTCTTTGATCCCTGAAGGCAAGCGGTTTGTCTCTTGTGCCACGGGTGGCGCACTGAACAGAAGAGCCCTGGGGAGGGGCACATCTAAGGCCGGGGAGACGACCCAGCAGGGCCTGCTCTGACCCCTGGCTCTGCCACACACTAGCTGTGGGATCATGGGTAATCTACTTAACCTGCTCGCTTGCAAAATGGAATTAATGCCATGGGCTTCCCATTAACTAAGGAAATGGGCGAGCTTGCTCAAATTTGAATGCTGACATGGCTGCTGTGTATCCTGGTGAAGCTGCTGACCTGTTGTATGCCTCAGTTTCTTTATCTGTCAAGTAGAGTGAGTAATAACAGCACAAAGTACTTAATTTGTGAAAAACACTTAGAACAGGACCCAGGACATAGTAACATTTGATAAGTGTTGGCTGTTATCATTAATAACAATTTTGGGGAAGCTATTCCTGACAATAAAATAGCAAAAGAGATCATACAGTATTTCCCCCTGCCCCACTGAGAGCACTTAAAAATCAAACCAAACCAAACCAAACCAAACCAAACCAAACGGAGTTAGTACCAGAAAGAGAGAGAAGGCCGATGACCACTGTGGGCCACTGCGCAAGTGACCCTTTCCAGAGATTTACAACATATACTACAAAGATTGCAAGCTGAACATTTTCCCCATGACTTGGGTAGTTAAAAGAAACAAGAAAAAAAAATCATTTGGGACCCCTTTTAAAAGGATCAACAAAGCGAGAAATGCAAAGGTAAGAGTATTTATGGACTCAACTGAAATGTGTTCCGAGCGTAATTCCCTGTCACTTAGGGCTCGCTGAGGAGAGGGCAAACGAGGAGGAGAGGTGAGCGGTTCCCACCTCATAGGGGACGGTGCTGGCTGTCACCTGGGGAAAGGCCAGACCCCGGCACACAGACACACAGACGTTTTCTTTCAGAGTGAGGAAGTGTAAGTATGAAAATTACCATTCTTACGTTAAATTGTTTCTAATACCAACCTAAGCTCAGTGTGTATGCCTTAGAAAAACCTCAAAACAAAAACCCTCTTCACGCTGAACCCGAGCATGGCGCGGTGGACCCCCTGAGCTGTGTTTGCACCAGAGGCTCCAGAGTTGAAGCAAGATTTAGACTCACGGGACATTAGAATCAGGAGCAACTTCCAAGGTAATATAATCTCATTTTCTCCAGGAAAAGTAATTCCCACAGAATAGGCAACGGTCCAAGCACATAGCCGTTTGGATGAGTCCCCTCAAAGGTTCCATGCTCTGAAATGAAGGCTCATCAGATAGTCCTCCTTCCCCTATGATGAGGCTGCAAGAGTGAGTTACATGTGCGTGGAAAGACTAGCTGAAATGTCCACGAAGCCCCGTGAATGTTAGTCGTTAGGTGCTAGGCCTTCAGCTAGCCGCCCCTACCCCTCTTCTGGAAACAAGGCTCTGACGTTGTCTCCAGTTACATTCTGAGCAAGAGCCACATTTTTTGAGCCCCCCACAATTTGTAATCTGCCTTCCAACACTCACTGAAGTCTCCTTCCTTTCATGACAGCCAAAGAAGCCCGGCTGCGAAGACGGCCACCACGCTGAGCAAGGGTGCGGGCGCAGCAGCCTCTCACGCAGCTGGGTGACTCAGGGTCCTGCCAGCGGGGACGTAGGTCCCCAGGGCCCCCTGGGGTGATGGCCTGGGAGAACCACGTATGACACAGGAGACGAGGAACCTGGCACTCTGACTGCACGCACGAACAGAGGCTGGGAGGGGCCGTAGCAAAGCGTTAGGTTGAGGGGTTCTAACGCAGTTTTCCAAACAAAAGAAACAGTTGGCATGTAATAGAGCAAAGTGTGAGGCCAGGAAATGATGCTACCCCAGTAGTGTGGAAGGGGCTTAAATTCCTTTGGAAAGAGGTTGTAAAACAACAAGATAATTCAATTTTCAAACTGCGAAGTACTATCAAGCAGCCAGGAAGGCTTTCCTGAGAAACAGCAGGTAAAAAGTCACAAGGTGTCTGGGTCCCCTCGTACACTTGTCTGGCCTGTGGGTGCGCACTCAGCAGGGACCACCAGATGCAAAGGCCTGGGGGGATAACGAGGCTGGGACGCAGTGACCCCAACTCCGCTGCGGAGGCGCAAACATTCTACTACAGTTCCCTCGTGGGGATTCTTCAGCTTCACTCGGAGTGTTGCTGGTATTTTCAGAAGTGGGAAACTCTGGGAATTGTGCCAGATTATCTCACCCTCTCTAAAGTATGCATTAATGTCTAATTTAAATAAACAAAATATTAAAAAGGTGCTGAATTCAAATGCCTTGCTGCCAAAAGTGACTTCGGAATACATGTATCAGGGTTGGAACCTTGATGAAAGGGTTCCCCGTGTGTATGACAAAACATACATCGACTTCCAGGAAGGCAGAATGTAAACAGTGCATTTGGGCATGATGCCACTTATTTTTCTCCTCTTGCCTAATTTCCCTCTTTGAAAGACATGCCTCTTTCAGGCTTTGTCCCGTCTTCTAAGAGTAAGACTGGCAACTGGAAAATCAGAACTACTATTTACCTGCACTAGTGCTTTGAAGGACTGAGAGAAGACTTCCTGGGGCGACGGCCTTCTGAATAGGGAGCACGTTATTGTAAAGATAATTATACGCAGAGAAGAAGGGGGCCAGCTCAGGGTTCAGCATAATAAAACCCGAGTTTTAAATAAGAAACTTTTGAGGACAAGGTTTGCGTCGTTTGCTCAGCAGCATTTATACAGAAACAAGGATTTATGCTTTTATTAATAACAATGTATGAAGAGCACTTACCGCAGTGTCTGATGCATGAATGCTTAATGAAGAGTTGCTATAATTATTCTTCCCATCATTATGGGCAACTAAAGGACTGTGGGTTTGCATTAACCTCACATATCTGTCAGGTAACAAGTAACGGGATCTTAAAAGATGTTAGTAATACTCAGATCTGAAATAATGAACATATTAACAAAATTTCTACAACCTATTGCCACGCATTTGGAACAACTTTTTTCTTCTCTGTTTTTACCTTGTGGTCCATACTGGCTCATCTGTGGACCGTAAGTTCCACTTGAGTTACTCTGCTGAAAGCTACCGATCCCAGGATGCATCTGGCCTCCGGGAGAAGGATGAGGCGACATGGATGGTCCTGTCTGCTGAGGTCCATATTGAGACATTTGAGGGTTTCTTTGTGTGCCTGCCATAAAACCTAAGTAGGAAATAAATGGAGATATATAAATGCAGGTGACAAAAATGGCCATGGAATTGTGAGGAAGAAGGGCGGGGAGAAGGCTGGCGCGGTGAGGTTCCCCTAAGAGAAACATCCAAAGACCAGAGTCCAGTGTGGAGGATTTTGGAGCTAGCCGGGCCCCAACTCTGAGCTCTCATTAGAGGTTCTGGGAACCCAGTGGATCATGGACTTGAACTAGGGAGAGGAGAAGGTGGAGAGGCAAGTTCCCTTAATGTGCCTTACAGATGTGGTCCCTGACACAAAGCAACTCCCTATTCCTGTGGGGATGGACATGCTATACATGTTGCCTCATCTGTGGGACATGTGTCACTCAAACGTCCTGCCCCTCTCTGAGGTCCAGGCCACCAGCAGCCTCCTCCTGCACACAGCTGTTCACCTGATGCCCACCCAGCACGCGGACCTGTGCATTCCTGGTTCATACTGTCCCTGCGGGTGAACCGTAAGCGGCTGGCAGGGCTGACGTGTACTCTGCTGCTCCAAACACAGCGGGACCTCCTCTTGCGAACCCGTCCTGCCCGCTGTCTCCCCATCTCCGTTGAGGGCACCGCCACCCACTCAAAGGCTCGCGTCGGGACCCCTGACGCCCTCCTCCCGCCCTCCCGCTTTCCCGTGTGCAGCCCATCCGTCAGCGCATCCTGCTGTCTCTACCTCTCCATCTCCACAAGCCGGCCCCGACCACGGTCTAACTCATCTCTCTCTCTCTGCCCCATAGCCCACTCTGCTCCTTTTCGTGCCCTCACCGCCCCCCAAAGCTGCCAGGAATGATGTCTCAGGAATACAAAAAGATACGAGAGCACGTCCTTCCCTTGCACAGAGCCCTTCGAGGCTTCCCACCGATCCTGCAGATACGACGCAAACACCTGACTATGGTGTCCGGGGTCACCTGCGGTGTGGCGCTGTCTTCCTCACGGCAACCCCACTTCCCATGTTTTTCCTCCTCCCCACTGGCCCGCCTGGCCCCTGGCCTTCTGGCAGCTCCTGGAGGCTCCTCCTCACCCTCCAGGCCTGCCTTCCTTTTCATAACCTGCCATCACCGTATTTTACGTTTGGCTCACTCATCATCTCTCTTCCCACTGAAGTGGGAGCCTCACGACGGCGAGGGTGTCTGTGCCCACTGTTGCATCCAAAGTGGCCGGCAGAGTATTTGGCGCATGCTGCGTATCAAAAAGGACTTTGATGTATCAAAATATGGGCAAGAATGTGGAATAAGCTATGAAACACTTTTTTAGACACAGTGTGCCCCAAATGAAGACATGCCTCGAAGAAAAAGCTAACATCACTAAACTAGCATGCTGACAAAGGGTCGTTTGAGAAACAGCTCTGAGGACCCAGAGTTTGGGCTGGGGAGAGTTCCTGGGCGTCAGGTGAAGGCTCCTGTGCGCTGGAGCTGGCAGGTTCTGCCTACTCCGCAGGGAACCTAGAGCAGAAGCTTCCAGAGAGCCTACTGAGGCAGCGGGAGGGAAAGGTGATCCAAGGTGATCCAAGGTGGGTCCAAGGTGAGCCTAAGTTAGGGGTTACATGGGACAGGGCATTTAAAAGACCATGGTTTACATCTCAGAAGAAAAGAAAAGATTTCTTAACATTGCTTCTGTCTACGGACATAGGCATAAAATTACCTAGAGCTGTTCCCTATTATGGGTTCTGTCTAAAGAGACTGACAAGTATGTAGAGATGTTCCTTATTATCCTATTTCATTTATTTATTAAGATAAGCCTTATGAAATGGAGCTCAATTGGCAGCTTCCAGATATAAATCAGCATAAGAAATGTTTGCTTTTTGAAATCTGAAAACAAACAGAAATCAGAGCACTAAAATTACTAAAAATGATTGCATCTTAAGATGTTACATGAAATATTTATCTAAGCCTTACTATGAAATTCTCAGGAGTTTCATATAGAGTCCTGTTTAATAAAAAATGTGTTCCCATTCCATACAGGTTGTGTGGCTTTTTATTTCTTTCAGAGAATGACTGCTTTCTTCTTCCTTAGTTAAGCAAAGTACTGGGCTTTTAGTTTGCATGAAATCTCACTGCACCCATAAAGTGTCCACGCTGAAGGGCTTACAGCCTCTGATAATGCTGTGTGTCCTTAGGCCATTGTGGCCTCTGGGGCACTTACTCTAGGCTTCTGGTTTGTTCACCTGCGTTCTATGATTCTACCTGGGCAAAGCTATTTCTTTATTTCCAACTAGTCAGTCCTTCAAAAATACACGCCCTGTTCCACTTGAACTGCCACTGGCATTCTGCAGAATATCGAGTATGTGAAAAGGCTCCAGAAGAGGTGGGATGGTCAAAGCTATTTCAAGTGGAATGAGTTGCCGCATCAAATTCAACACCTTGGGGACAAGGTCACATGGGGTATGGACTCTCCCTCTATCCACAGAAGTTGACATTGAAAAGCTTACTTTTTTCTCTACATGCTTTTCCTGTGGCACCACTTACAAGTGCTTCCTGCAACCCTGTTTGATATTTACAGTTAGAAACACCCCCTTCCAGCTGTCCCAAGACAATGAAAGGAGGAGGTGACAGCTGCCCTGACTCCTTTCTGAGCTCTGCTCTTCTCACGGCGGCCAGATGGGAACAGAGGCCTAGGGAAAAGTCTTGTGTGCGTCACTAGTTCAGAACCCAGTAGGGAAAAAAAGACATGGAAATAAATATGCTGCAGTGTACATTGATCAAATGAACAGTGTGACTTGAGGCAAATTATACATTTTCTGAGTCTCAGTTTCCTCATCTTTAGCTGAAGAAGAGGTTGCTGTAAGATTGACTGAGATAAATATGAAAGTGTTCTGTAATCTGTCATGGGATACACAAAAGTAAGAGATTAGCATGGTAGTTTTTCTGGTCTGCAAGCTATCATAAATACCTTTTAACTCCTGACTACCCCACTTGTTCAGATTCAGTGTCCAGCAGGAAGGGACAAGCTGGTTTTATTCCTACATTTGTTTTTTATTTAAATATGTGGAATTCACATTACTTCAGTTCTTATGTAACTGAGTAAAATCCAAAAGGTTAAAAAGCACACATCCTACCACTGAGTTCCTCTCGCCAAGGCAAATATTTTTTAATGTACCAGTTAGAAATAGTTTGTAATTTGTGTTTGATTCTGTAATTTTTGTATCATGAATAAAGCTGAATATTTAATTTAATTGCTGTTGTCTAGAACTGTTGGTATCAATTGCTCACCTTTCTGTTGGTGACTCTATGTCTTTAACTCTATGCCACTAAAAAAAGACATCCATTATGGATATAACCATATTTTAAAAAAGCTGTTGAATATCCTAATAATCTAAATAAAATGATGTAAAGTTAGAAGATGGAAGTTAGCTTTAAAAAGAAGCATTTCTACTTTTCATCCTACAGAGAAGAATTCTGAAATCTATTGCTGTTTCCCTCTCTGCAAAACAGGGACAGATATATCTACCACGGGCGGCCACTGTGGGGATGCAATGAGGTAATTCCTGCAAATAGTACAGCAGTGCCTGGTACAGAGTAGGCTTTCAACAATTACTAGCTATGACTGTATTATTTTATATTCAAAAAGGGAAGCAAGGGAGGCAGCCTGGCAAAACAGCACGGGCACTGGGCGAGCACGTGAGGCCGGGCCGTCCGCATCACTGTGCAGGACGCGCGCCCGACTCCCTGGCCCTGCCTCAGCCCCTCCCTGCTGGGCGGCCAGACTGGACGCCAGCGCCTGCGGGGACTCCCTCCCAGCCCTGCCGCTCTATGCGGCTCGCTTACGCATTCTTCTCCCAGGAAAAACCTCACCCAGACCTGTAATTTCCATGTTTATTTTTTGGGGGGGAGGGTATTCCTTGTTTTGTTTTGTCTTAACCATTTCCAAAAATCAAATTTCAACCCCAAATTTTCAACCTATTTAAGGTGACATATTTATTTGATTATATTTTCTTCTTTTAGAAAAAGCTGTTATAAACTGACAGCTGCCCTGGCTGGTGTGGCTCAGTGGACTGAGCGCCAGCCTTGGAACCAAGGGTCGCCAGTTCAATTGCCAGTCAGGGCACACACCTGGGTTGCGGGTCAGGTCCCCAGTAGGGGCGTGTGAGAGGTAACCACGCATTGATGTTTCTCTCCCTTTCTTCTTCCCTTGCCCCCTCTCTAAAAATAAATAAATAAAAACTTAAAAAAAATAAAATAAACTGACAGCTAAGAGAATGAAGCTGCTTTAGTAACAGGTGTACAATTTTTCTAGTTATAAGCCATTGAAGTCAAACTTTCTAGCAAGGGGAATTTAGAAAGTATAAAATGAATTTCCTACATATTATAAAAGTATATTGAATTACTAGTGGTATTATAGAATTATATGCCCCAAGTAAAGTGCTAAAATGAAAAATTCAAACTTTGGAAAAAGTACTACTTCAGACAATTACTATTTACATTACATAAAAGAACTTGCCAAAAAATCCTAGAAATTCCATATGAAAATGTGATTTATGTATTTTATCCAGAAGTCTGAGAAGGTTCATGTGAATGCATTTACTATTTTCAAGTCCTTCATTACAGGTGTATGCAGTCTCAAGCACTTGCACTAACACACTCCAAATGAAGAGAGGCACATTTCTAACATGAAAAAAGCAGAGCTTCCCCTTTAGGAAAGCGGGGGGGAGGAGGAGGGGAGGGGGAGAGAGAGAGAGAGAGAGAGTGTGCGTGCGCACGCGCGCAGCAAGCAGCTACCTTCTCAGAGAACAGGCCGCAGGAAACACATGCATGCACCTGCTGGAGTCAGAAGCTGTGCTCTCTTGTACGAAACAGTGAACACACTTCCAGTCCGGCCTTACAACATCAGGCTGAGGGGCGGCTAAGAAAAACATATGCAAAAGTGCTTTCCTGAGCTGGAAAACACCGTGAAAGCACCACACAAAGGCATTACTGTTGCCTTTTTAGCGATGCCACGGCCCTCCCTTCACTGCAGGAATTCCGATCTAAGCTGTCACAGTGGCGA